AGAAAAAGGTAAAGTCAATTATAAAATTCCAAAATTCAAGGTTGTTGGTTGGGCTTGGCCCATTTCACAGAAGAAAACTCATATTGTCGATGAGTGTAGGCTTGATCCTTACTTGTATCAACGTTTTGAAGGTCAGTATTAGCTAGTCAAGCCCATTGTAGCATGCCGAAACAGTAACAAATTGCACTAGCCATTAAGCCCAATCAGCCAACGGAATTAGGTTAGGTTAATCAACTTGCATAGTATTTGTTTTATCCTTTTTGATAAACATTAATTAATTTTATTTGGACAGCTCGTCTGATGATGTCTGTTTCCTCTCATTTTCGAGCAGCCAATTAGAGGTATTCGCTCTTTTTCATTTCGTTTTTCGGTTGGGAATTTTCCCAATACGTCATTTTGGATTTGATTTTGTTGCCCTAGTCTAGATATATTTACATAAATACATTTCGTGGGAAACATAATCAGAAGAGGAATAATTATTGATTTTTTTTTATTTATACGAGATTGTGATAATCTATCCGATATGGTTCTCTCTCTCTCTCCATATAATGGTTTTCTCTCTCCATATATTGAAAGGAGACGCAGAGAAAACGATAAACACATTAAACAAAAAAACGATTGAAAAAGATGGCGATCGTGATTACCTATACTTCAGGAAATCACGAATTCAAATTTAAAAAATGGGATTATCATATTTAAGAAACGGGATTATCATATCAACGCATTCGTATTTAAAAAAAAATACATAGCAGCGTGAAAAAAAAAAACCAAACGAGGTTGTTGTTCATGAAAAATTTATCGTAAAGTAACCGTAGATTCAAAGACGTTTGCTATATTCATGTTTAAATTTCTCTTGATTGTTTGGAATATGTAGGCCAAACCCAAATCTCTATCTTAGGCTTAAGAAAGCCCCAGCCCAATCCCGTCTGGGCCTGGCCCTCACTCACACTTAAGTGGCAATGTCGACTCTGAACCGTTGGATTTACGGAATAAATCCCAACCATCTATCCATCTTGACTCTTAAATAATCTCATCTCTTGCTCGAACACTTCACTTCTCAGCAGCCATTCACTTTTCACCTTGCGGCTGCTGCTGAACTCTCTTGACCGAGGAGAGGGTTTGGCAAAAAGCGGCGAACCCGTGGTTCCGGCACGCGGAGGAGCATAAGTGGAGGGATTCAATTATGTGCATCTGATTTTTTTCTTATTTTAGATAATTTATTTAATTTTATTTTCTCACTGGAGTTTAATTGATGTTTTTTTTTTGTTTTCTTGTTTTTCTTTTGTCGTCAATTATTGGCAGAGGTGTTGGATCCTTAATCCAACATTGAGCTAATACGTAAAATAATTATTGTATTGTGGTTGTCAAATAAAGAAGTCCAAACAAAAGTGATCAATTAAGTTTTAAAATTATTTGTCTTTAAAATATCGTACAGGCCTTTAATGAGTAGAAACTAATGAGTTGTTTCTATTTTAACTATGGACTAAAATGTATATAAAGGGTCGTGCTCATAACATCAAAACTCTTCTGCAGAGGTTACGGAAAAAAGCTAAAGAGTTCTCGTAAAGTTACGCTGGTACGCTTCCACTATTCAGTCTCGATTCTCAATTATTCAATACGAAAACTTTTGGATTAAAGTGATATGTTTCGCCTAAAGTTAAATTCCAACAAGAGGTTGTTGAGAAAGTGGAAACAGAGGATTATGTAAAATGTAAAATTGGCAGATGAGCTTGAAAATGTTTCCCCTCTTGAGATCATGGATGAGGCCCTCGAGATGTTTTTTTGGGCTCAATTGAAATTATGTTATTACGTAAATAGTATCTAAAGATTCGATATTTAAGTGTACTTTTGAATAATTATGGGGACCCTTATGTGATTAGTCTTTGACAAGAATGGTATTCTTATATGTGTACACTAATACTGCTTGAGAATGTCTTGTTTTTTAGTGCTTCAAGTTTGTCTTGTTGGGTGGTGTGTTTATCTAACGAGGAAAAGAGTGAAAATTGAAAGTGTGATATATCACCAGTTATTTTTGTGTCACAATTCACAACTAAGTAAATCTTTGAGATTTGCAAAACAAAAAAAAAAAAATATGCATCAAAAATCCATTTGAACTTGGTCACAAAGCTTCTACATGTCGTCGAAATTAATAGTTGTCCTATGATCCTATCCATCAGCTCAAGAAGGGATTTAAGTCGCTCCCTTAGATCAGCTTTCATCGTTCAGTGTCTTGACATGTTCTGATCTTATGTTTTAACAAAAGTAACTTTGTTTCGCTCTGCAAAAGATATTAGAGTACTTTGCTCTTTCTATTTTTATAACCTCTAAACATTTTTTTGGGATGCACCATGGTCAAAAGTGTTGGGATCTGTGAGGATCTCGTTATGTACAAATCACGAATTCAATAGCAAACGTAAACCTATGCGCAGCGGATCTAAAGGTTTGACGTAGAGAACTTACGGCTTAAAATTTATGTAGATCTGGTTGACCACGAACGGTTGACCGCAATTGATTGACCGCAACACGCGTCTTGGGTTGCACGAACAAGATCAGATCAAAACTGGATCAAACGGATGCAAACA